TATATATATATATAATGTATATATATAATATATGTAATTTAATATACATTTAACAACACATTATATATATATATTTTTTTGTTTTGTTTTATACCTAACTTCCGATTGATATATGTAATTTTAATATACATTTAACAACACACACACATATATATACATATATATATATATATAACATATTATATATATATATATATTTTTTTTTGTTTTATACCTAACTTCTGATTGATATATGTAATTTTAATATACATTTAATAACACATTTTATATATATATATTTTTTTTATTTATATATATATACACATTTTATATTTTATATATATATATATTTTATATATATATACATTTTATATTTTTTATATATATATATAGATATTTGATCAATTGTTTGATTGAGAAACTTAAGAAATGCTAAATGACGATGTTGAAAATTTTGCATTTGATCTAGACATCGTTGGCAGTATCGCCGTGTAATCTTCAAGTATTCTTCTCGCAGTCTCGTTATCCGTATTCCCGGTGACGTTTTTAGGTCTCATACAACGTACTAGCTGTCGAGCTTTCGCGGTACAGTTGTCGCTCTGTTGTATCATACTCGTGGAAAACACTTCGTATGTGTAGTTCAGTAAATTTTCAACGATGCAATCGAGAACCGTATCTTTCGGTATTTCTCCGTAGCCACTTTGCGAGCACTCTTTGATAACGACGTTCATCCATCCCCATTCCTCCCAATCTTCGCCGTATCTCACCTGCTGATTCTCCAATTGCCACGTTAAATATGCACGGTATCTATAAATTATTAAAAACAAATAATTAATTGTCTTACACGCTGGTTATATGATACATGTTTTGTTAAAAAAAAAAAAAAAAATGATTAGATTTACATGCGCGTTCTTCAAAATAGTAGAAGATCGATAAATTTCTACTGTTAACAAATACGAATAAGAATTTAAATAATTAAATCCCGCTTCCGTCCTGTTAGAATTAATTACATAATTGGCCTACTTCCTCGTACTAAGAATGGGTCGTATAATGTTACATCAGCGGCTAATTATCTCGAAAACGTAGCTGTACATGCATGTAATAGAGCTTTTAAGAGAATACTTGATAATGATGTTAGAAGAGGAAAGGTTGCGTCTCATATTTTTCCGCAACTAATTTCAACCGGAAACCGGAAACGGTAAAGTTTACAGATATATACTTACCCCCAGTTCAACGGATTCTTCTCGAACTTCACATTTTTAAGGTTTTGCAGATACGCGAACATGTTGTAGTTGATGAACTTTATCTTGTTATAATCGAAATAGAAGCTCTCCAAATTGGGAAGTAGCCCGAATACACTGTCCTCTATTACCTCGATGTCGTTGAACGACACGTCTAAAGTTCTCAAGCTATACGTGTTGATAAACCATTCATGCTGCACGGCTTTCAATTTATTGCCCCACAGCAATAAATTCTGCAGTTTCGCGAGGCCTACGAACGCCGAAGAAGATATCGTCCGTATGCTTGATCCGTGTAGATCCAAAGTTATGAGGCTGGCGCCGAATCTTCTGAAAATATATCTACGAGAACAAACCACACGAGTTTAGACAGCAAAGTACTTTAATTGTAATTAATTTTCATCGTTACTCATTTATTTATTACTCTCATATCTCTCTCTCTCTCTCTCTCT